ACATCCTGGTCCACTTCTCCTTCACTCCCAACACATCCCCACAGCCCCTTCCCCAGCAATTGCAGAAGGTGTAACTCCTCCATGTTTACTTCCTTCCTCCCCACTATCCTAGGCCTCAAACACACCTTCAAGGTGAAGCACCGCTTCACACAATCTGCACTTCACACAATCTAGCTTACTGCATTTGCTGCTCACAATGTGGTCTCCTCTACGAAAGGGAAACAAAATGTAGACTGGGTGACTGCTTTGCAGAGCACCTACACTCTGTCTGCAAAAAGACTTTGAGCTTCCAGTTGCTGCCACTTCAACACATCACCCTGTTCTCCGGCGAATATCTCTGCCTCAGGCTTGCTGCAATGTTCCAGTGAAGCTCAGTGCAAGCCAGAAGAACAACGCCTCATTTTGCACTTGGGAGCCCTGCAGCCTTCCGGACTCAATATCAAGTTCAACAATTTTAGAGCTTGAGCACTTTTCCCCATATTTTCCCTCACCACCCCCATACACCAGGACTTATTGTCACATGGTCGGCTGTTACAAACATCCATTGTCGGTCACTAATAGTCCTCATTAGCAGTTATTCATCAACCCCCGCAACTGACTTTCAACCACTTCATTGTCTGCCCAACTTTTTCGCTTTTATTGGGCCCTATGTCTACCTACTGTTTGTTCTCATGCAAACCGCCCCCACTCCCCCACCATCTTATGCATAAGAAACAAGATCCTTTTTCTAGCTACCATCTATTGGGCATACTATGTAGAATTCTTACAGTATGGAAGCAGGCCATTCAGCCCATTGAGTCCACACTGACCCTCTGAAGAGCATCCCACCGAGTCCCACCCCACCCTTGCAACCCTGCATTTCCCATGACTAACCCACACATTACTGAACACTTAGCATGGTCAATCCACCTAACCAGCGCATCTTTGGACTGTGGGAGGAAAGTGGAGCACCCAGAGGAAGCCTGTGCAGACACGGGGAGAACATGCAAACTCCCCACAGACAGTATCCCGAGGCTGGAATCGAACCTCAGTCCCTGGTGCTGTGAGGCAGTAGTGCTAACCACTGAGCCGCCATGCTGTCTCCTGAGGGCATCTTCTGAGAAAGGGTCACTGGATCCAAAATTGATTTCTTTCCACAGATGCTGCCAGACCTGCTGAGATTTTCAAGCAATTTCTGTTTTTGTTTCAGATTTCCAGCATCCGCAGTTCTTTTGGTGTTTTGTGCAAAATAGTAAGTGCCTTGGATAGAGTAGATAGGGAAATACATTTCCCCCAGTGCAGAAGTCAGTTACCAAGGTGCACAGATCATTAAAAAGGGATGACAGAATCAACCAAGAAATTCCAAGTTGGTCAGTCTAATCTCGGCGGTGGTGAAATTATTAGGAAGCATTCTGAGAGGCAGAATAGATACTTGGAGAGGTATTGATTAATCAAGGGGAGGCAGTATGGTCTCTGATGAAGGGTCTAGGCCCGAAACGTCAGCCTCTCTGCTCCTATGATGCTGCTTGGCCTGCTGTGTTCATCCAGCCCTGCACCTTGTTGTCTCTTGTTAAGGAAAGGTCTTGTTTGACAAATTTGATTGATTGTTTTGAGCAGGTAGCCAGGAGCGTTGGAGCATTGGAGGGTGAGGGGTGGCCTTATTGAAATCTATAAAATCGTGAGGGACATGGATAGGGTGAATAATCAAGGTCTTTTCCCCAGTGTAGGGGAGTCCAAAACTAGAGGGCACAGGTTTAAGGTAAGAGGGAAAAGATATAAAATGGACCTAAGGGGCAACTTTTCATGCAGAGAGTGGTGTGTATATGGAATGAATTGCCTGCGAAAGTGGTGGAGGCAGGTACAGCATCTGGATGGTTATATGAATGGGAAAGGTTTAGGAGGATATGCTGGCAAATTGGACTAGATTAATTTGGAATATCTGGTTGGCATGGATGAATTGAAACGAAGGTATGTTTTTGAGCTGCATATCTCTATGACTCTATGACTATATGAGTTTTGATGAGGGTAATGCATTTGATGTGATCTGCATGGACTCTAGCAAAGCTTTTGGTAAGGTCCTGATAAGCTATTAGGCAAGTTTGGATCAGCTGAGTAGTTTTGCCTTGCAGCAGCAAAGGTTGAGAGATGAACCGATAGAGAAGTATAAGATAATGAGGGACATGGATAGGGTGAATAAGAAAGCCGTTTTTCCATGAGTAGAGGGGTCAATAATGAGGGGCATAGATTTCAGGTAAGAGGTAGAAGGCTGAGAGGAGATTTGAGGAGAATGTTTTTAGCCCAGAGGGTGGTGGGACTCCGGAACTCAATGTCTGCTAGGGTGGCTGAGCCAGAAATTCTGATAACAGTTAAGCAGCATTTAGATATTCACCTGCATTGCCGTAGCCTCCAGGGCTATAGGTTAAGATCTTTGTTGACCAGCATAGACTCAATGTGTAGAATGGCTATAAATCTGTGAATCTGTGAGACTTAAGGGGAGTTATAAACGCATTAGGGGGACAGGAGGAAAACCTTTTTCACTCAGAAAGTGGTAGGGGTCTGGAATTCACTGCCCAGTTTGGTGATTGAGGTATAAACCCTCAACTCAATTAAAAGGAATCTGGATATGTACCTGAAGCATTGTATCCCACATGGTTATGGACAAGGTGCTAACATGTGGAATTAGAACGAACAGCTAGTTTATTCAACTGATGCTGAATGGCCTCTTTCTGTCCTATATCTTTTTCTATGGTTCAATACCAAATAAAAGTTGCTTTTACTTATAGCTAACCAAAGGGAAGGCAATTTTTTTTTAAATATAGAATCCCTACAGTGTGGAAACAGGCCCTTCAGCCCAGCAAGTCCACACCAACCCTCAGAGCATCCCACCCATAACCATCCCCCTATTCTAGGCATCCCTGAACACTATGGGCAATTTAGCATGGCCAATCCACCTAGCCAGCACATTTTTGGACAGTAGGAGGAAACCAGAGCACCCAGAGGAAACCCATGCAGACATAGGGAGAATGTGCAAACTCCACACAGACAGTCACCTGAGGCTAGAATTGAACCCAGGTCCCTAGCTCTGTGAGGCAGCAGTGCTAACCACTGAGCCACCATGTGGTATTTGCCTAGTGGTATTATCACTGGACTCTTAATCCAGGTAATGTTCTAGGAATGTTGGTTTGAATCCCATCATGGCAGATGGTGAAATTAGAATTCAATGAAAAAATCTGGGATTAAGCATCTAATGATGACCATGAATCCATTGTCAATTATTGGGAAAAAACCCATCTGGGTCACTAATGTCCTTTAGGGAAGGAAACTGCCATCCTTACCTGGTCTGGCCTACATGTGACTCCAGACCCACAGCAATGTGGTTGACTCATAACTGCCCTCTGGACAATTAGGGATGGGCAATAAATGCTGGCCTAGCCAGTGATGCCCTCATCCTGTTAATGAATTAAAAAAAGAAAAACAAAACTTATGGGACTAGCAGTGCGTCGGATTGGTTCAAAAATGGAAATACAACATGTTTTGTGTTTGAATTTGGAGTCATCTACCTTTCATATGAATCATTGAATATCTTTTAAAGCTAGGACCTTAAGTCTCATATCTTCTAACTAAACAAGAAATATTTTTGAGAAAGATGGATCACATCAAGTATTTGGGAACTTTTGAGTAATCTTTCCTAATTTCTTAAACTATATTTCAGTAAAGCACATCAGTGTTCTTAGCAGGACTCTCTCGGTATTGTTGTATCTGCTGAAACACATGATCAAAAACAGACAGTAGATTGTCATCCATTTTAAGTGAGCAGATTCATGATGTAAATAGATACCAATAATTTTCAGATTAATGTCAACTGGAAGCATAAAATTAGCTTCTTGCATCAACTGAGAACCTAACGCAAGTCACAACAAAGCAGCAGGTTGGACTCTTTAATACTAAATCTTTCATTTCATCTTAAGTTCTTTCACTTCGGGGAATAAATAAATAATTTGCTATAATGTCAAATGATTGCTGATAGGTTCTTAGCTATTTTAAAGTTCCCAGAGAAAATGGTAACTTTAAACAAAAGACTTGGATGCCCAATTACATACTTAAAGAAATTGCACGCCAAGAATTCAGGTTTTAATACTTTTACTACAAAAAAACCAAAATAATATTGACTAAATATTATATAGCAGGCAACTAATGCTCTAAATTCCAGAAGGGATAATCTGTAGTACTGCTAATTACCCTGTGTCACATCCATGTATATAACAACACTCTCTGCAGAATCACATTCATTACGAAATTACCAGAGAAGGTTTTGTTGTTGGTACTTGGTTAATTCTCCAAAATTTGAGGGAAGCATTTTTTTGATAATCACTTGACTAGGCATAGTAAGGAAACTCAAAAGTTCCCAACTTCAAATAAAAACTTCTGAGTTTCTTCACTATACTTAGTTGTAATGTTAAGTGATTATCAAAAAATGCTTCGCTCAAATTTTGGACAATTAACCAAATACCAACAGCAAGGCTTTCTCTGGTAATTTCATCTCCTAATCTCATGAAGGAAATCTCTTCCAGAATCTTGAGTGTTACAGTGTATCTGCCTTTGACTGGAAACTCTGTTTGTCCCTGTATTCCTCCAGGTAGCTCATTAAGGACTCTCAGCCATCTCCACTCTGTTTCCAACCCTGGCTGCAGCCTTTTATCTCTGCGAGACCTCTCTCAGTCTTTCACTCTTTCCAGTGCCCAGAGGACAGTTGAGAGTCTAATACATTATTGTGGCTAAGGAGTCACATGTAGGCTAGACCAGGGAAGGATGGTTTTTGCCAACAATCAACAATGGTTTCATGATCATCATTAGACTCTTAATTCCAGATTTTTATTGAATTCAAATACCACCATGGCTTTGAACCCAGGCCCCCAGAACATTATGTGGGTCTCCAGATTAATAATCTAGCAATAATATCACTAGGCCATCACCTGTTGTTAGGTAGAACGCACAGCATATCACCACTCTTCATTCCTCCATTTCAAAAATATTTTTTATTCATAAAAATATCTGCATATATACAGAGCCAGAAATGCAATTCAGTTCTGTACAGTAGCATATCAAGGAAAGAAACAAATATTGGAGTTTGACTCTAGCCAAACAAACCAAAGACATCTCTTACACATACAAGACAATATTTCTCCATTTTCCTTGAGTTAAAGGGACAGTACAAAACATTATCTTCTTAGAAAACTCCATTCATAACAATAAGCTTAAACTGAAACACAGTTTGAGTAACATGATTGACTTCAAAAACCAGAGAAATCAAGAATAGACTACAGCACATGACTCTCTTCCTATTTGCTGTTCGATGACCTTCGCTTGAAAATTGGACTGTGCTATGATGGCCTCCAACATTCTTACTCTAGACTCAAGATTGTGAAAAACAGCTCGGTTGAGATAGCAGACGAATGTAAGAATCTGTGAAGTGGTAGCTGAGCAAGCATTTGCTCCTTTAGTAAAAGGCATTGGTGATCAGCGAGTGATTACACAATGTATAGATACTGCAATTTGACAATTATTAACAAGTTTGGAACAGTTTATAAAAAAATGTAGACCAGTTTTCTTAGAACAGCAGACCTGAGGGCAGATTGTACTAGGACTGTTATTTTGCAACTAGATAGGATTAATTAAGCGTCTCATAGCAAAGACATCCTTAGGTAATAGTGACCATAGTATGATTGAATTTTACATTCAGTTTGAAGGTGAGAGGAGTGGTTCTGAGACTATTTTCTTAAACTGAAATAAGGCTGATTGTAAGGCATGAAAGCAGAGCTGGCTAAAGTAAATTGGAAAATTAGATTGAAGAATAAATCAAGAGATGCAGGGGCACACATTTAAGATATAGAGTGAGAAAAATTTCAGTACTGAAGCAGCCTCTCTGTTTTCTGCAGTCAAAACTCACCGTAAACCTGAATAAAGCCAGTTCATCTTTCCTGCAGACATTATTGTAAACTGTTGTTTTGAACTGATAAGTCAGAGACTTTTAATAAGTGTACTAGCCACTTTGTGTCTCTCAACATTCACTGGAAGAAATCAAAGAAAGATGATTGAAGCAACAGGAGGAATTTGCCCAGTGAAAAGTCATATGGACCGGTTCAATAATAGTACCTGGGAACAAAAACTGTCTTTCCAGTTTCTCCCCTCGACCTACAACCTATTTTACCCTGCCTGTATGTGTGTGTGTGTAAGGGGGCATTTACAGAGGATTAAAATTTTAATTAGTGGTGACTGTTTAATAATTAGAATCTAATTATTTGTAATAAATAGTGATTCTTGTTCAGTACAGAAACTTGGTCCATGCTTTCTATCAATCTGGGTCTGAAATTAAGGAAAATTGAGGAATTTTGTATGCATTTGAAATCTTTAACTTTTGTGATGACTCTTGGAATAGCAGGACTTGATTTTTAGTGTACTACTCCAGAGAGTCGTAACAAAGCTTTGGGGCTTGTGGTCCAGGATTCAATTGAAACTGCAGGCAACAAGGATTTGAGTGTGGTATTGGTAGAATGTACATGTATCGTAAAGTATGTTTTGTGCAAGTCTAATCCATTCCTGGGTTGTTTGGTTAAAACAAATTGCAAATACAATAGTCAAAAGTAATTTGAAGGTGAATAACAATGCTACTCCTACATTCATGTTTTACTAGGAATTTGTTTGCTAGGAAAGGTGTATGACTAAACACACACTGCTGAAGACACCTTGCGAAAGAGCTGTTCAGTAGCTAAAAACAAAGTGAACCAATTGCCTTTTATAAAATGCTGATGTCACATTTCCAAACTGGCAGTGGAAAGCTTAAAGTAGGCCCCATCCATGTCTAATATTGTTGTGTTTGAACACTGACTACAAAAACAGATTCCATTTAAGCTCATTGGTGACATTTTAAAACTGTGTATGTGATTGCCTTAAGGTTTTGGTAAAAGAACTGTAATCCTGAGTAATGGTTTATTGCGGAAAATAGAGACACACCATTGAAGGTTTTCTTCCTGTACTCATCAGGACAGATGGAAAAATGCCAAATTTCAATGGCAGCAACAATTTATATTGTATGAGAAAAAGGTGATTAGTTAGCAAAATGGCACTCTGATACCTGACGTACTTTAACCACTCTTAAATTCATTCATTTCATAACTGCTTTCAGTTTTATTTTGTTTGGATAAACAGTACAAATTAAAATGGAAGCCTGGTGAATTCTTCTATGTTACATTTGAAAGATTAAAAGTATGTTGAAAGCAACACTCCAGTTTCCTGAGCTATCCCATTCTGAAGGCGTTACAGAAATACTAGGTACAGTTCTATGGGGACAGTACTTCATCTGAGAAGCTATTTTTCATGAAGAAACCTAGACCAGTAATTTTTAGATATTTTCCATCATATTGGCTTTACAATCATTCCAAACTCCATCCTCACTTGATAAGAACACACGACACAAACACATATTCTCCAGCGCAGGTCATGAATGATGACTATGAGAGTGAACCACAGTCAATTCCAGGATAGGTATGCAGATTATCTGCCTTAGATTTAACCACGATTGTTTTGTTCCAATTGCCAGATAGTAATCTAAACTCCTTGTGATCTTGAAGTTGCCAAACACAATCTAACTGGGTTCTCCTCAATCTGTGCTTCTCCTTCGCTGTAATTTTAATTAGTTTCACAAAGCCTGGGTAACACTTCTGTTCAGTGTCATGTTGATTTACATAACTGCTATAAAATGAAATCTTGCAGCTTGTGTGGCTGGCTTTCAAATGACAATTACAATTGACCTCTACTACTTCATCTTTTTATGGTAGCATAAGATCCAGCAGTTTGCTCTGACAAGAGTAGTGGTTGAGAGAGTGCCAGTTTATGCATTAAACAAAGAACACCAGTGAGCCTTTTCAGCACAGGTTCTGCCAAAGTACAAAGCACCATGGGTAGTTCCTTTATTCATTGAGACAACAAGGTGTAGAGCTGGATGAACACAGCAGGCCAAGCAGCATCAGAGGAGCAGGAAGGCTGACGTTTCAGGCCTAGACCCTTCTTCACTAGAATAGCAAAATGCTGTCACCTAGTGTAAATATTTGCATTCCTTTTATTTTTCATTGCTATTTATAGGTGGTTCCATTTAGCATTCTGAAGTTTTTAGGGATATTCTCTCTGAAGCAAGGGAAGTAAAGCATGTGAAATATGAAAAGAAATTGCAGATTCTCAATATACAGTAAATGAAAGCTAAACTAAAAAAGGAACTTCAGCTCGACTATTCCAATGTTCAAGCCAATTTCCTGCCTTGCACCCTCAACAGACTTCAAACCAAAATCTAGTTGTATCCCAACATACTAGGGGCCAATTTTAATTTGATGTTTGCTCCTGTGAAGTCTTGGAGTGTGTTAAAATAGGTAACATTTAATTGGTGAAGAAGGGTCCAGACCTGAAATGTCAGCTTTCCTGCTCCTCTGATGCTGCTTGGCCTGCTGTGTTCATCCAACTCTACCACCTTGTTATCTCAGATTCTCCAGCATCAGCAGTTCCTACTAGTTCCAACATTTAATTGATGTTGCTATCATGCTTTATAGCAACATTTGTAGCTTGCTGAAACATAGCAATTAAACAAGACGAAGCAAAATGTTCCCTCTCACTGCTTTAGTTTTTTTTTCTGTCTCTGTTCTGTAACTTCTGTTGAATTAGCATAAACTGGGACATCTTAGATCCATGTTTTTAGTACTATACCCAAGATTTTTCTAAAAATCAGACATGATCCTAACCATTGCTTTTTGAATGTCTGTAAAGCACGATTATAACTTGTTCCAACAGAGGCACAGAATAAGCTAACTGGAACAACCAGTTTGGAATGTCTGACCTCATGTCTGCCCAGAATCAGGAATTTCTGGGCAATCTCACAGCATTAAGTCAGAACCATTATGAAAGCCCCAAATTAAGGCAAGGTTGTCAGATAAATTAAATGTGATCACTCCAAGCTAAAAGGCTTAAAGCATCAGTTGCATATTCTGATTAGTTTGAAAAATGCAGGAAGTTGAAGCCAGCTGGCAGACTGCACTGTGAGAGCCAATTTGAAATCAATCTGAAAATCAAGATCACCTCATTAAATAATAATTGGTACTTTCACAGCCATCCTAATCTTTTCTCTTTCCCAAGTAGGCAATGCATTGTCTCCATAAATATACAAGAAAACTTGTCAAGATATACACAATTAAAACTACACGTAAACCTATAATATCTATAGACATCATAAAGGTCTTTTGCATTCAGCACACATATTCTTTTGTTTAATTTCTACAACTTTATTAGTGGCCTCAAAAGGAGAAAAGCAGCAAATAGTCATAAAAATTGTCAGAGGTATTATGAAAGGCTTACATCAAAGTCTTATTTGTTTGGCCAGAAAAAAAACTACCAAAAAAAAAGGATATAAACCATTGATTCAATCAATCAATAATAAAAACAAAAAAAAATGGAGAAACTCAGCAGCTCTGACAGCATCTGGAGAGAGAAACAGTTGGTTAAATTTGTGTGTCTCTCACTATTTTGCAGATTTGCTACATGGGAGGTACAGCATGGAGACAGGCCAATTCTTACCCTTGGTCTGTGCTGCTGTTTGGGTTCTACATGATTCTCCTCTGTCAAATATATAGTCATTTCAGTACAGAAGGCAGCCATTCTCCCCATTTTGTCCATACTGGCTATGGAACTGTGAAATTTGCCTCCTCTGCTCCATGTAGTAGCAAGCGCCACTTTCTGACTACTGTGTGTAAAGATCTTTCTGATGCTTCCTTCATTGCCTTTAGTAAGGAGTGCCATTCATTGGTGACCCCTACTCCCACACAAGTGGAAAGCATCTCTACCTCTGCCCGACTGATTCCCTTCTTAATTTTAAAGTCCATTGTTCATTCGCTTCCTGGATTGCTATTTTCCAGAAGAAAAAAAAGCTTCTAGCTTTTCAGTCATTTGTGAAAAGTTACAACCCCTCAGTTTCTCATATCATCCTTTCAAATCTTCTTTGCAAACCTTATAATATCCTTCTTTGCAATCCACAGACCAGTCTGATGCACAGTGCTCCTAAATGTGGTCACTGGATCCAAAACGTGAACTCTACTTTCTCTGCACAGATGCTACCAGACCTGCTGAGTTTTTCCAACAATTTCTGATTTTGTTTCTGATTTCCAGCATCTGTAGTTCTTTAGGTTTCTCCAAGTAACACTATGTATGGTTCCAGCAACATTTCTTCCATCAAAATATAATTGTAATCATTACTCTTAATTTCTCTACATTAAATGTTTTAAAAGTGAGATATATTTTTGTTTGGCCTCTAATTGCACTTTAATTTTATAGGCAGGAAATTTGAATCAGAAAGTAAAGAAGACAGGTGAGACAATTCTAAGCAGTAAAAATCTAATTAGTATTCAAACACTAAATCAGCAGCCCTTCAATATATTGTAGCTTAGAAATATTTTTGATACACTGAAAGCTACAAGAGATTGATTTATGAACTTTTTTTATGTATACACACACAATAACAAAACTAGTCAAAACTTGAAGCACATTTATGTTGCATTAATCACAGGAAAACTGTGTAGGACTATTTTCTTCACTTTACAAATATCTAACAAAGACGACAGCAGATTTTGATTCAAAATAAAAAGAGCTACACACCATCTCTCCTGTATATAATGAACTCTGCATGTACACAAACTTAATTTGGTAGTTAAATATGAATGGTGTATTGTTATACTGTAAAAAATTATTTGTCCATTTCACAAATACTAACAGCACAAGGAGGACAGAAACAATCTTAAAAGCTGACAGAATGATTTATTCTGTCCGAATGCAACGTTTTTGTACAATATATAATGACTGAATGAAGCTCGACCAAAAGATACAAGTTGCTCCAGGCCAGTTAAATTTTCTTCCTTCAGTACCTGTCATTACATGCACTGCAGTATCTAGAATTAGTTTTGAAAAACATTAAACCCCAAAAAGTAATAAGGCTACTTCCATATCAAGGTATGATGAATGCAGCTGCTAAATATGAACAATTACAAAGTATACGTGGCAGATTCAGAATGCTGCAAGTCTGACTACTGCATGAATCATTGGGACATAACCAGAGAGCTGATTTGAAGCAGGTAGTCAGAAGTTCTGAAGATACAAAGTTGATGTCCAACAACCAAATCTGCTGTACATGACAATGATATATTGTGACCTTAGCAATACCAAAATGTCAGTGGGTACCATTTTTTCTTTCGATCTTCAGACTGAGAAAAGAAAGCAGATAAACCTGATTTGTTTTAAGCACAGCATTGACTTGCTGCCTCTTGTACTCTGATAAGGGTGCTGTGTGATATTTTTCCATCCTTCTGCTGATTGACTTAATGCATACTGGCAACCTCTCTCTATTTCCAGCCTTTTTACTAATCTCTAACTTAACCTTTCAACATTCATCACACAAGTCTGTAATTTAAAATGAAACAACTTAATTTTCAAACACCTATTTTGGGCAAAGATGTTTATTCAAAACTGGAAACAAAATCAATTAAAATAAATTTTTGGCTAGAATGCCACATTTTTAAATTGACTTATTTTGAAATTATTACTGTACCAAAGTATGTAAGCTTTGTGAATACTTTTGGGGAAACAAGATTGACTTGTTGACTTGCAGAACATTCCACTTTTAATACAAGCGGTTATCAGGGCATCTTACGTATATTTGTTCGTACTCCAAGTAAAAACTTGCATCAACAAATTAATCAAAACTGAACATTTCAGTACCACTCTTCACAACGACACATATCAATGACTGGCAGATCCTAACTTCCTGCAAAGATAACCAATGTGTCTTTTCCAATTCATCATTTAAAAATCCTTCAAACTTCATTTGGCACGAATTTTTCTTTTAGTTTTCTTTAATTTGTTCGTTTTTTGCACTTTTTCAGCTGATTTGCTTTTCTTTTTGCCAGTCCTTTCAGCAGGTTGTATCTTGAATGTGACTTCATCATCTGTATCATCAAGGGTCTTTAAAGATTGACGTCGTTTTAGAACAGATGGTGTGCAGACAGGAGTCACATCCTAAAAAAATTATTAGAGTGTTATAATTGAAATATAGAATTTAGTATCAGGTTCAAAAAAAATACTCTGCATCAACACACTACGGTGAGACATTCAAAGACTATTACAATCTTGCTGTTAAAATTAGCAGGATAGTACTTGGAGAGACTGGAAAATCTAGAATTGTACTCCTTACAATAGGTAAGTTTAAGGGAAGATTTAATGGCGATTTCCAAATTTATGAAGAGTTTGATAGTGCAAATTAGAAAAAAATATTTCCAGCGGGGTGATAGGTTAATAATCAGTGAACACTGATTTGAGGAAAATTGCTAAAAAATTCAGAACGGAGACAAGGAAAACCTCCCTTTCCTGCCCATAGTCAGTTATTTCTGTAATCCGTGGCAGGAAAGTTTGAAGAACTTTCAACAGTAACTTTCAAAGGGGACACCTGATAAAGGAAAATAACACAGAGCTGTGCATCACATGCAGGGATCATTTAATGGACAAGTTGTTTTTGAAAAACTTGACCACGTACATTATGCAGATATAATTCATATTCTCCTCTCCAGATAGCTAATATCTGAGACACAGGCTAGAAGGAAGATGATACCCAAAAGGATGGCAAAATTGTTACAATTAATCTCCATCTTTAACTAAGAAGGGATACATTAACATACGTGCTTATTTTGTGGTTGGGCTTGTTCATGATCAGACCTGGCTTGAAGGTGCTGCTTGTTCCCACAACTAACTAGACCAGGTGGTGTCAAGACACATTTGAATAATGGACATGGAGAAGATACCATATGACAATGGTCACTATTGAAGATAAAAGTCAGATTCTGAACACAAAAATTTTTTGGCCAAATTATGAATCTATGCACCGAATATTCTTAGCAGCAGCAAATGTTGTTGGTTAGTTTCTTATGCTTAATTTTTGAACAATCAACTTCCTAACTAGATGGTAGGGGAAAATAACATATCTAAGGTAGTCATTATTGGGTCATCTTCCACTAAAGACTTGAGGACCACCACAGAACTTAAGTTTTTAATTGCAACCAAAACACTTACAGTTCAAATTAGTGGAAAAATATGAACATGCTATTAATATTAGCGTTTCAACTCAGAAGAACTTTGAGTTGAAACCCATTATGGTACAACTTTTGTAATTTTTAGATTAACAATTAGCAGAGTTTGCACTGGAGGCAGAGATGATTCAGTGAGAGTTGGACAAGTTCAGTGATTAGGCAAATACATGACAGACAAATGATAGATAAATGTGAGGTTATTCACTTTGGTAGCAAAAATCTGAAGACAGGTTATCCAAATGGTGATTGTTTGGGAAAGGGGGAAGTGCAACAAGACCTAGGTGTCCTTGTACTGCAGTTGCTGAAAGTAAGCAGTTAGGTGCAGCAGACAGTGAAGAAAGCAAATGGTATGTTGGCCTTCATAGCGACAGTATTTGAGTATAGGAGCAGGGATGTCTCGCTGCAATTATACAGAGACGTGATGAGACCACATCTGGAATAGTGTGTGCAATTTTGGTCGTCTCCTCTGAGGATGGATGTCCTGGCCATGGAGGGAGTGCAACAAAAGTTTATCAGCCAATTCCTGGGATACAGGACTGATATATAATTGGCTTGATTTGGACTATATTGCAGGAGTGAATGAGAGAGAGGATTCAGAAACCTATGAAATTCGAACACGACTAAAATGGGTAAAGTGACAGGGCTGGGAGAATGTTCCCGATGACCAGGAAGTCCATAACCAGAGGTCACAGTTATAAAATAAAGGTAGGTCATTTAGAACTAAGATGAGGGGAAATTTCTGGACGCAGACAGTAGTGAGCCCTAGTAATTTTCTGCCACAGAAAGCAGTTGAGTTCAAAACATTGAATAATTTTAAGAAGGAGTTAGATACAGTTCATAGGCTAAAGAGATCAAAGGATATGGGGAGAAAACAGGAACAAGGTACTAAGTTGGATGTTCAGCCATGATCATACTGAACAGCAGAGTAGGCTCAAAGGAATAAAAGGCCTCCTCCTGCTCCTATTTTCTATGTTTCAAGACGCAATGAATCCCATCTCCTACTTAAGTTTTGTCAGGGGAGTGCCACTGCACCTGAAGTTTGGCACACAGGATTGTAGGAGATATTCTATATAGATTAGGAGGATAGGATAAAGCCAGTACTTTACAAGATCAATGGGCAGAATGGAGGGGAGGGAGCAACGCTGAGAAAGTTAAAAAGGATGTCAAATGAGGGGTGCTATTTGAGATTCTGAACTCAGCAATTTTATTAGAGATCTAGTTAAGGAGACGGAAGTCAGAAGCTGCACTTCCATTTTGTTTTGCTGGCTTTTGTTACTGCCTTTTTATCACTGTCTTTCCTAGTGACACATGAACATTAATGTTCCAGTTTGATTTGGAGATCTCAGCATTTCCTGTTTGAAATGATCAGCTTCTATTCGGTGTTAAAAGTGGTGGACTGAAGGCACAGACCGTAGATTTATTAGCTGGATAGACCCGGAAGGTATCATTGGAGTTTATCGCTACACTACCTTGTTTTGAAGGACTTAACGGGAAAACTGGAGAAGGGGAATCCATGCCACTTACAGTCATAGAGATGTACAGCATGGAACAGGCACTTTGATCCAACTCATCCGCGCCGATCAGATATCCTAAATACATCTAGTTCCATTTGCCAGCTTTTGGCCCATATCCCTCTAAACCCTTCCTATTCATACACCCATCCAGATGTCTTTTAAATGTTGTCATTGTACCAGCCTCCACCACTTCCTCTGGCAGATCATTCCATACACACATCACCCTCTGCATGAAAAAGTTTCCCCTCAAGCCCCTTTTAAATCTTTCCCCTCTCACCTCAAACCTATACCCTCTAGTTTTGGACTCCCATGCCCTAGGGAAAAGACCTTGACTATTCATCCTGTCCATGCCTCTCATGATGTTATAAGCTTCTACAAGATCACCCTTCAGCCTCTGACGCTCCAGGGAAAATAGCCCCACCTTATTCAGTCTCTCCCTATAGCTCAAACTCTCCAACTCTGGCAAAATCCTCGTAAATCTTTTCTGTATCCTTTCAAGTTTCACAACACCTTTCCTGTGGCAGGGAGACCAGAATTAAACAGTATTCTAATATTGCCCTAACCAATGTCCTGTACAGCCAGAAGATGACTTAATGGATATTGGGTTCTAGGATCCTTCTATAATTTTGTTCTACCCACTGTAAAGCAATAACCTCTAAATTCAAAGTTATCTAAGTGCATTGCAGAACAATATAGGCATCAAGTAAATTGCAGTAATCAATTAGTTCCTGGGTAAAGTTTTCAGCTTACCTGGCTGTTTACTGTGTCATTCATTTCTGTACACATTTGTTTTTTTGTCTGAGGCAGCACTGCAGCCTGAAGAATAAAGGATAATAACTTGCACAATCAATTTCAATCTCCCAAAATAAATATTGCTCAGTAAATCAACAAATACCAGAGTCTGAAATTGCAACAAGCTTGTCCAACAGTACGAGATTTTGGAAATGGGAGAATCTCAATAACTTCTACATGCCAAGATCACAGATGAAGACATTTTATGCTCAGATTGATACATTCAAAGCTTGAGGGACTCTTGTGCATCGGCAAACATACCTCTGGACCAGAATGCCTTAGTTCACATCCTTCCTGTTCCAGGGTGTGTCAGAACACACCCAAATAGGCTGATTAAAAAAATATTTACATTCAAAGCTTGTACAAAAACTCTTGAATGCTAATCTTCATGGTTTTAACCAAGAAATGACCCCACCCCAAATTAGATATGCTCAGAGCTGCTCCTTTACACCCATACTGATAAGTGAAAAGAAATAATTTAAAATTATACTGAGTCGAAAATAGATTTAAAATAGGCTAAGGAAAAGCTGCACCACCAAAATAGTCTACCCACAAAACCAATCAAATTTATCGGATGAGTAAATAACGGAGAGAGAGAGAGACAGGAGTGATCTAGGTTGAATGGAATCACCAGATATCACTTAGCAAAGTTAAAGGAATTTAAGCACAACCAGAGAATCTTGCAACCAATCTGCATTTGTAATGACGTAAAAGTTAAAGAATGATAATCACATTGAGGACCCAATACATTAAGAAAACTTACAAAACCAGGAAAGTCGTAGTCAATCCCTTTCTCAGCAAGCCTTTTCCGTAACTGCCCTTCTTTCGCAAGGAGTCTTTTTGACATCACACTTTCTTGCTTCGGTGTTCTTTTCTTGTTGTAACGAGTAACAGCCGGGAAGTTAGGCTTCTTAAAAGTTGTATGGCCACCTTTAAAAAGTTGTGGATGTACTTTTTCTGGTGGAAGAACCTGACCTGAAAATTAAACATATTCACTACATGAGGGATGCCCAACCTTTTCAGTATCAAGGCACACTTTAATGAGACAAACAATTCCACAGCACACCCACTTTATTCAGCTGACCTGATGCAAATGTCCACGCATGCATGGTATCGGAAACGTACGCTTACACAGAGACTTGTGCATGCACAGGTGATACAAGTGCCTGGTGTCAGCAGACACTGTCTTCAATAATAGACACTGAGGCCCTGGAGGAGATCAGAAGTGTGATGGCAGCCTCGAGACTCAGGTGAAATGGCACTCTTCTTACCTGGTGTGCCATGGCACATTGATTGAAAATCACTGCGCCAAATCTTTGAATGTGAAAATATTGACAATGTATTTCTGCTAGATTTTAATGCACAAAAATGCCTCAAAGCAAATCAGAAATGATGTAATTTAATCAGCTTTCTTCAAGTTTCTACACACAACTGACCAGCTATAAGAAAGGACATATGATCCATTTCAGTGACTCTTGCCAATGAAAAATGAAAATACATGAATGGAACATGTCAGAATTTACCACCCCATCCTCCCAAGTTTTCCTTTCCCAGCCTGAGATGAGAGAAGATGAAAAATGAAAACAAACCTTTTTCATTATTTCCCTCAATTAGGCCACAATTCTTCCTAAGTGGAAATGCATTCAAGAGGCAACTAGATATAGCGCTTGGGATCAAAGGTTATGGGGACAAAGCAGGATTAGGCTACTGAGTTGAACAATCAGCCATGATCGTGAAAATTGGCAGAGCAGACTCGAAAGGTGACCTCTTATTCCTATCTTCTATGTTTGTATGCAGATATAGGCATGCATGTTTTCCTTCAAATACAAAGACAGTTGGATCAAGGGTGAGGTTTTTTTGAGGAGGGTCAGTGGTGGCGACAATAGCAGTATGTGAGGAGAAGGAACAGTTAACAATATCAGTTTATACAGAGACAAAGGGCGGGGGGGGAGAAAAGAGTTGGTTTTTGAATAATTTGATAGTAATTGGGCTCGGGCAGCAGAAGGGGTGTCTCATGGAAGGAGAGGAATGGAGAGGGTGTGAAGGGAGTTACAACAGGAAAGAAATAAATATGCAAATCAGGTTAGAGCAGGGACCTTAAGAGAAGTTCAGCTTGGTGGGTGACAGGAATGGTTCGGAGGCATCTGAGCGGTCTGGCTGGTGGGAGATTGTGGAATCAAAGTTCTTGTTTCTGACTTAATGGGCCCATATAAAGCATTTGAGTCAAATATGCTGCATGTGTGTAAAGAAGGAACAGACCCAACTTTTATTCTCACTCCTGTTGCCTGCACATCATTAAGCTTGCACATAAAGAATGGTCACCTAAGAGCTACCGAAGAGAACCTATTGCATTTAGTATTATCCCCAAGCATGAATCAGTGCCGATGAGAAATGGAAAGGATAAAGTCAAAAATTCTCCGTGCACCAGGTGTTGTTCATTAATCAGTCAAACAGAATTATTTCTGACAGTGAGTCTATTCTCAGAAAGCCACTGGCAGGGGGCCAGTGTGTAAAATGCGCACATTAAACCCTAATTTTGAAATGTTTACTGTCAAGTACTTACATTTTAAAAGCCTTTCATTAAATAAATAGTTGTTCATTGTTTCTGCAACGATTTTGGCAACTTCCTCACATTCAAACTCCACAAAAGCATATCCTTTGCTGTTTCCAGTCTATAGTTTAAATAAAATACATCATATTCAAAGATTACCCGTACCACAAGCATAACAGCTATGGTAAAAATTAGAAAGTGTATCAAATGTTTGTTGCTTAGTGACTGTAAAATGATCTGACAGCAGTTTAACAACAAAGACATAAATTAACATTTTTTTTCAAAGATTTCTCTTCACACTCAGCACATTTCTAATGAGGAAAAAAAGGTTCTTTCTTAAAAAAGATAATCCTTTGTAAATCCAAGCTTTAACTTTATCTAGACCCTTTTACTCAAGTGAACTGATGAAATGCGATGAGATTTCTCCCACTGTCATTCCATAAATAGAAGGTGCAACTCCAGTATTTTTTGAGAGGTATAATTCGCAATAAGTGATCCAAACATATTTTAGTTCTGTCTTCACAAAAGAGGACACGAATTAGATACCACAAATGCTGGAGAACGCAGGATTTAATGAGATGGAAGAATTGAGGGAGATCAATATAGGTAGAGAAGCAGTGCTGGGAAAATTGATGGGATTGAAGCCGGATAAATTCCCAGGGCCTGATAAGTACCCTCTGATGTAGATTAAGGAAGTGGCTCTAGAAATAGTGGATGCATTGGTGGTCATCTTCCAGGATTCTAGAGACTCTGGAACAGTCCCTGCTGATCGGAGGGTAGCTAATGTCACTTATATTCAAAAAGTGGGGTAGAGAGCAAACAGGGAATTATTGACCAGTAAGCCTAACAGTGGTAGTGGTGAAAATTTTCGAATCCATTATCAAGGACTTTATAGCAGAGCATTTAGAAAGCAGTGGCAGAATCAGATAAAGTCAGCATGGGGTTATGAAAGGAAAATCATGCTTGACAAATCTGTTGGAACTCTATGAAGATGCAACTAGTAGAGTTGACGAGGAGGAGCCTGTCGATGCAGTATATTTGGACTTTCAGAAAGCGTTTGACAAAGTCCTGCATAAGAGATTATTGTGCAAGATTAAAGCACATGGGATTGGGGCAAGTGTATTTAGATGGATAGGAAACTGGTTGGCAGAGAGAAAACAAAGAGCGATTTCTGAAGAAGGGTCTAGGCCCGAAACGTCAGCCTTCCTGCTCCTCTGATGCTGCTTGGCCTGCTGTGTTCATCCAGCTCTACACCTTGTCATGTAGGAATTAATACGTCCTTTTCAAATTGGCAGGCAGTAAGTAGTGGGATGCCACAAGGATCGGTGCTGGGACCCCAGCTATTCACAATATATATTAATGATTTGGATGAGGGAACAAAATGTAACATCTCCATATTTGCAGATGATACCAAGTTGGGTGGGAGGGTGAGCTGTGACAAGGATGCAGAGATCCTTCAGCATGATCTGGGCAAGTTGGGTGAGTGGTCAAATCAATGGCAGATGCAGTATAATTTGGCTAAATGAGAGATTACTCACGTTGGAAGCAAAAACAAGAAGGCAGATTACTACCTGAAGGACTGTAAATTTGGAGAGGGGCGTGTGCACCAGTCGCTGAAGGTAAGCATGCAGATGCAGCAGGCGCTAAAGGAGGCAAGTGGTATGTTGGCTTTCACTGCGAGAGGTTTTGAAAACAGGAGCAGGGATGTGTTGTTGCAGTTATACAGGTCCTTGCTGAGGCCACACCTAGAATATTGTGTGCAGTTTTAGTCTCCTTTTCAGAGGAAGGATGTTCTTGCTCTCGGGGGAGTGCAGCGAAAGTTTACCAGGCTGATTCCAGGGGGGCCTGGATGCAGGGAAGAGGTTCCTGATGGTGGGTGCATCCAGAACTAGGGGTTAGTCTGAGGATTCAGAGTAGTCATTTAAACGGAGATGAGGAGACATTTCTTCAACCCAATAATGGTGAGCCTGTGGAATTCATTACCACAGGAGGTAGTTGATGCCAAAACATTGAATGCATTCAAGAGGCGACGAGATATAGCACTTTGGGCAGACGGGATCAAAGGTTATGGGGAGAAACCAGGATAAGGTTATTGAGTTGGACGATCAGCCACGATTGTGATGAATGGTGGAGTAGGCCTGAAGGGCTGAAAGACACCCTCCTGCTCCTATCTTCTATGTTTCTATGTAAACAAGACTAAAGAATAAATACATCAGGAAACTTGATTTTAATGCTTGAAAAGTTACAGTTTAAAATTACAGCCTAGTGGTATTATCGCTAGACTATTAATCCAGAAGGCAGTTAATATTCTGGGGACCTGGGTTCAAATCTCACTATGGCAGATGGTGGAATTTGAATTCAATAAAACAAATCTGGAATTAAGCATCTAACGACAACCATGGATCTATTATCAATTGTCATAAAAACCCATCTGGGTTCACCAAAATCCTTTAGGAAAGGAAATCTGTCATCCTTACCTGGTCTGGCCTACATATGACTCCAGACCCACAGCAATGTGGTTGACTCTGAACTGCCCTCTGGGCAATTAGGGATGAACAATAAATGCTAGCTTAGACAGAGATGCCCACATCCCATGAGTGAATTTAAGAAAAAGTTTAGTGAAAGAGAAGAATTGAGAAGATTTTTTAAAAATTAAATACTTTCAAAATCTGGTGAGACCGGTAGGAAGTTTAAATAGCAAAGAAACAAATATATATATAACACAGACAAAATAGATAGAGCAGTGGAGTGGACTTAAACTATAATGGCTGGGGTGGGGCAGCAGAAGCCCATTACACAGACAGAGTGGACATTCGAATAAGACATTGAGGAAGACAGTTACAGCAAAGTGGAAGTAAGTGCAAAACAAGCAGATAAAGCAGGCCTACAATGCTGTTAGGGATGGAGTTTGAGGATTCTGACCTAGCAACACTGAAAGAGCAGCAATATTTTTCAAGTCTGGATGGTGAGTCGTTTGGAAAGGAATTTCCAAATGCTGGTGTTCCCATGTACCCACTGCACTTGTCCTTCTAGACTGTAGTAGTCATGGGTTTGAATGGTATTATCCCAGAAGCCTTGGTGAATTTCTGCAGTGAATTTTGTAGATGGTACATATTGCTGCTACTGAGCAGAAGCGGAGGGAGTAAATACCTGTAGATGTGATCAAATCAAATGAGCTACTTTGACTTGGATGATGTCAAGCTCCGAGTGTTGATGGAATTGCAATCATCCAGGCAATAGAGAGTATTCCATCACATTCCTGATTTGTGCATTGGAGATGGCTGGAGTCATGAGTTCAGTTACTCACTACACAATTCCTAGCCTCTGATCTGCTTTTGTATCCACAGTATTTATATGGCTGGCCCACTTTACTTTCTAGTCAATGGTAATCGCAAGGATGTTGATAGTGGAGGATTCAGTTCAATGGTATTGCCAACATGTTAAGACTGGTCAGATTCTCTCTTACGGGAAATAAGAACTACCTGGTATTTCTGTGGCACGAATGTTACTTACCACTTTTCATCCCAAGTCTGGATATTGTCCAGGTCTTGCTGCACTCAGATAAGAGACTGCTTCAGTATCTGAGGAGTCATGAATAGTACTGAACATCCCCACTTCTGACCTTACAATGGCAGGAAGGTCATTGATGAAGCACTTGAAGATGGCTGGGTCTAGAACACTGAGGAAATGTGCCTCATGGTAGTGGTGACAGTCCTACCACTAGGTCTAAAAGCCCGATTCATGTCTCACCTGCTACAAATGTGTTTTATAAAATGTCTACGCAGGCTGATTGAAAATAACTACACTATGGAACTCCTGCACAGGTGTCCTGGAGCTCAGCTGATTGACCTCCAAAAATCTCAACCATCTTCCTTTATGTTAAGTATGACACTAACCAGTGGGCAGTTTCCCCTCTGATTCTCATTAATATGAGTTTTGCTGGACTTCTTGACACTGCACTTAGTCAAATGTGGCTTTGATCTCAATCACTTTCACCTCATCTGTAGAATTCAGCTCTTCTCTCTATGTTTGAACCAAGACAGAAATGAGATTGAAAGCTGAGTGAGCCTGGCAGAACCCAAACTGAATGTCAATGAGCAGGTTTTTGCTAAGGAACTGCTGCTTGAGAGCACTGTCAATGACACCTTCTATCTACTGATGGTCATGAGTAGATTGTCTAGTTTGGATTCTGGTGACTAGCTAGTTTAGCATTTATTGACATCTTTAGCTGTCCTTGAGAAGATTGTGATCAGCTGCCTCTTGAACTGCTGCAGTCAATGTGCAGTAGGCAGACCCACAATGCCAGTAAAGAGAGAGATCCAAGGGTTCTATCCAACGACACTGACAGAATAGCAATATATCTCCATGTCAGGATGATGAATGCCTTTGATGAAAACTCGTAGGTTTTGGTGTTCCTATCTATTTGTTGCTGTCTAAGGATTTTTGGCGAATTCCTGCAGTGCCTCTTGTAATGGTTAACTGGAGGGAACCGATGTTTGTGGATGTGGTGTGAACTAAGCAGGCTGTTTTGTCCTGGATGGTGTTCAACTTTTTGAATGTTGTTGGAACTGCATTCATCCAAGAAAGTGTGGAGTATTCCACGACACTCCTGACTTGAGTCTTGTAGATATTAGATTTCTGGACACAAATTACATCTCAGGATATAGACAGTGCAGGAAGGTGGCATTGTGGGAATGATCGACTATGATCTAATTAAAAGACAGAGGCTCAACTGCCTAAATGTCCCACTCCTGTTCCTATGAATACACAGTTCTTAATTTGTCCAATTATTTTCAGAAATTGCTTTATAAAATTTTGCATTCTGACATTTTACACATTTGACTTCCATTCAATAGGCAGTTCATCAATAATCAAATTTGTACAGTCATCTCAAGGGCTGATCAGAGACAGATTTGCAGTTACTTTTCAGTTTTGCATTTGAACATCTGCAAGAGACATTTACTCAAATCAATTCAGTAGCTTAAGGACATATTAGATTTTGTCTGTAAATTCTGTGGTCTATATGTTGAATGATTCTGCCAAGAACTGAATTCAATGACTGCAGTATCTCTGCTCATGTAAATGTTACTGAAGAGTTGGATACAAGAACTGCAGTTTTGCTAAGATTTAAACACGTTGAGTTGGCGATATTGATCCATTAGCATCCAAATAAAATTTTAGTGAAACATCTAGGTAGTGTAACTAAGAATGGTCATAGGACTCAAAACGTTAACTCTGTTTTCTTTCCACAGACGCTGCCAGACCTGTCGAGTTTCTCCAGCAATTTTTGTTTTTGTTTGTAACTACACTTGTGCTGCACTGAACCTATACTATGTAATTTTGTTCCCCAAAAAATTAATTTTGGAATACTCACATCCTGCCTCTCCTGATGTATAATCCCATGACAACATGTCTGCAATACATTTTATGTCAGCATAGAAACTGGGTGCCAATAAACTATCATCCTATAGATATATTATAGAGGTCACCACTGCCCCATCTGAGGTTCTGAGAGGTTCTCTGGACTAACTTTAGGAGCAGGAATATTGGATGACTTCTGGATTCCCTCATCCAAGCACAAACTCAACTGCAGTCATCAACCTTCAATATACTTTAACTGAGCTGCTCTTAATATATAAATTAACCAGAGATTGAAGCTGGAACCTCCTAATCATCAAATATGCAAAGACAAAGAAAAAAGGTAAAATAGCATCTCTGCCAACATCAGAATTGCAAAAAACTAGCTTGATGTCTAACCAAGTAATCAAAATACCAATTCTTCTTGCCAAGCTTAGCTCGAAGGGTCTCTGTCTCAGCAGAATAATTCTGCAAAGTTCAAGAGACCACTTAAAATTACGGAGTTAGAAATCAAATGTTAATAAATAGCTTGTATGTGATCTCACAAAATGTTCATTGTGAAGTGATGTTTGAGATTGGTTGTATGTCATAAATATGAATCCTGTTAAACGAAAGCCTGATTTTCTACATCTTATTTTTGGATCAGAATTTGTAGGTGTTTCAGATAACGCTCGTTATAATAACGGAAATCTAAAAATTAATTCACACCAATGTGAACAGAAGTAATAATGCGATTACACAAGAATTCTCTCTTGGTGAGAATTGCCACCAGACGTTCTAAGGACAAATACATTTTAAAAATGCTCCATCCAGGATCTTTCATAAACAATTAAATAACACGTGAATCTAATTATTAAAAAGCTTCATGCTTTGATATGGCATTTTTCATACACGCTCATTACCTTTTTGCTGCGTGAAAGTCGCACTCTTAAAACTGTTCCAAACTGGGAGAAGTATTTCTTGATCGCGGGTTCAAAGAATCCCTTAGGAATATGGCCTAAGTAAATTACACCTGGTGTCAGCTTTTCGACCTAAGAGATAAAGAGTTGATTAGGTACACATGGCATTCACATTTACTTTTAAGGCAATGTGATACATTCCAAAGCACTGAATAAATTTCTACATGGTATTATAAGCAGCAAAATAATTTGCCATTGTCAAATACATTACTAAAATGCTAGTGAACACATGTGAAGTGCAGCAAACAACCATCAGAGAATGGGGCATTCCAGTTTGCTGCACTAATAATCCCCCACACAGAATGAAGTTGTGTTGATTTAAATCATAACAGCAGTAACAACATCTCCTCAAAGAAATTTTAGCCAAATAAAATAATCACATTGAACACAGAGAATCCCTACAGTGTGGAAACAGGCCCTTCGACCCAACAAGTCCACAATGACCCTCAGGGCCTCCCAAGCAGACCCATCCCCTTATAACCCACCTGAGCTACACATCCCTGAACACTGGGGGCAATTTAGCATGGCCAATCCACCTAACCTGCACATCTTTGGACTGTGGGAGGAAACCCACACAGACACAGGGAGAATGTGCAAACTCCACACAGACAGTTGCCCGAGGGTGGAATTGAACCCGGGTCCCTGGCGCTGTGAGGTAGCAGCGCTAACCACTGAACCACCGTGAAATAAGTTTAATTATTTTCCTCCATTAAACAAATAGGAAATGCACCCTCCACACTTGTCATCCATTCTTATGCATGGAATTCATTAATCCTTGTCACCAGGGATTGCAAATGTCAAAGAAAATCAACTGAACATTAGGTTTAAAAAACTTCTTTCAGATTTGTCATTCTCACCTAAATTCTGCCAAAACCCCTCATTGAATCTGATTACCTCAAGGCATGATGTTGTTTCTAACAGTAGTCAGCCTGCATCCAGTTTCAGCAGAACATTTCAGACAGGTTGATTACTCTGCAATTCTAAAATGTTGACCATACGGCTGGTGTTCCAGGGCAGGCATGCTCCACGAGCCACAGAAGACCGCGAGCAGCGAGCTCGGGAGTAGCATGTGGGTTATGAGCCTGGAGCAGTACGGGGAAGCAGCCCCCAGACAGCACGCAGGCAGCGAGTTCTGGACCGGTGTGAGGGGGCGCAATTCTGCCACTTATCTTAGGGCAGATGAATGCTGGTATGGAGTGGAATGGGGCTTAGAACAGAACAGGAACAGCTGTTGGACTGGGGTCTAGAGTGGGCGGTTAGACCACATGTGGAGGCCCTGCGCTAAGCTGCTACACTGTAACATCTGTTTAAAATTTCCTACCTTACTGTAATGTTAACCCTTTAATATTTGCCTATTTTTAATTATTTTTCAACTCTGTAAATAATGCAACTACTTCTATTCCTCTGCCGCATCCAAGAATTGTATCTAAGATGTCACCATAAGAAGGCAGACATTATAGAAGTTTTCACTGTGCTCCTACAATGGAGTACATGTGACAATAAAAGGATATTGTATCGAAGGGGAGGAACGATGCAAGATTACCAGTCCTGTACACTTTGTGGCATTCTGAGCTCTTAATTTGGAGATTGTAAATTTAAGATCATCAATGTTGTCAACACAGCGCAACAGTACAGAGGATTTGCAATATTTTTTTTAAAATCTTGTCTCTCAGATGAGACATTACATGATGTACACATTCCATATATTCTAATTGCTGCTAAAGACTTTTTATATTATTATTGGATCATGCATTTTGTTGTGTCTTGTGGTCAAAGTTCAATCCTCAGTCAACACCAGCAGAACTATATGAACTGATCCTTTACCTTATCGTTATGTATGGGATCACATTGAGTGCAAAGCAATATTATATATGTATGGGAAGTCCTCTTGGATATTTCACAGACATAAAATGACCTTCAACTCCATAGCTTTATCTGAAAGTATCCAGTATTCTATCAATCAAGACCACTTATTTCTAGCTTTGCAACATTGCCCATTTGCATTCCTAAATTAGCCCCTCTTGCTTTATTAGGAGATTCTAACACCATCTTTACCAGCCTCCCACACATGCTCTATAAGCTGAAATTTGTCCAGATTTCTTTTGCAATGATCACATCTTTTGCGAATTGCTGCTTACATATCAAGGCTGCTAATGATTTCATAGATTTGTGCTATACTGACTTCCCATTATTCAAAATAAAGTTCATAATCCTTGTTCTGAAGAAGAGTCACATCAGATATGAAACATAACTATTTCCCTCCAGATAGATGCTGCCAGACCTGCTGAATTTCTGAAGGGTCCCGACCCGAAACAACAACTTTCCTGCTCCTCTGATGCTGCCTAGCCTGTGTTCTTCCAACTCCACAGTTATCTCTGACTCCAGCATCAGCAGTTCTTACTATCTCCGAATTTCTCCAGCATTTTTTAAAGTTTATTTAAAATCCTAGCACTTATCCACATATCCCTTTGTTCTTATCCTGTCATAACTCTCCAATTCTTCCAGCTCTACCGAAACATAGTTTTCTTTTTACTTTGGCCTACTGTAAAACCCCTTCACTTCATGCAGCGCAACACTGCTACAGCCTTCAGCTGCTGGAGCCTTCTTTCCAGAATTCCATAAGACCATAAGTATTAGGAACAGAGTGGGCCGTTCACCCCTTTGAGCCTGCTCTGCCGTTCAATAGGATCATGGTTGATTTAGTACAGTATTCCCCACCTGCAGTTTCCTGCCCAAAACCTTTCTCAGCGACCACTATCCTCATCACTCCCTCACATTTCCCACATGTTTATTTTCTAAGGGCTGTGGAACGTGTTTTTCACTATAAAAGCCATCACTTAAAACAAGTTCTCATCTCTTGTTTTAAATATCCAATCCCTTATTCTGAGATTATGCTCTCTGATCCTAGAATCTCCCCCAAGGGGAAACAATCTTTATGCATTTATCCTATCAAGTCCCTTAAGAATGTTTCATGCTTCAATAAATTTACTCTAATTTTAAAATTCCAAACTCCTCAACTTCTCCCCATGACAGTCCCTGTATACTTGGTAACTCTAAGTGAACCTCTGGTCTGCCTCCAATACCAGTATATCTTTCCTTAGATAAGGGGCCCAAAACAGTTCGCAGTATTCCAACTGTTGTCTGACGAGTGCCTTGTATAGTTTTAGAACAACCTCCCTACTTTTATACCCCATTCTATCTGAAATAAAGGAGTTTGGTTGACAGCTGAGCCCAGTTTGCGCTGCGAACCACCCAGGGGACACACGCAGACCTGATCCAGACCCATTCTCCCAAAGTGACACACAGTGCAGTTCTAGAGAGAAACCAGCCCCCCACCACCAGGACAGAGGGTCACCTGTACAGTGACTACCGACGGGTCCAGAGGTAGAAGGCAAATCTTCAATTACACCTCTCCCAGTACACCTCCCCAACTCAGGCCAGCTCAAGTTTCCAAATAACCCACCTCCCCAAATCCTCAACTTCACCATATTCACTCCTCACTCCACCTAACTCACTCCCTCTGTCTCTCCCCCCTTGCCCTCACAATTCCTCTCTGATCCACAAACTAACTCCCCACCTCACTCCCCCGCTTCCCAACTCACTGCCCCCTCTCACGTCACACTCCTCCTCCATTCCCATCCACCTCCTACTCCCCCCTCCCCCCCCTCTCCCCTACCCACTCCTTCTCCTCCTCACTTTCCCCACATCTCACTCCCCCAATTCCCATCCATCTCCCACTCTCCCAACCTCACACCCTACATCTCCCTCACCCCCTACCCCCTCATCTCACCCCATACCCTTCACTCCACTCCACTCCACCCTACTCCAAACCCCCAACCCCTCACCCCACCCCCACTATCCCCACACCACCTCCCCTCCCCACCTTCTTCTGCTTCTTCATCCCATGCAGCTTCCGCTGAAACTCCTTCTGCTTCTTGGGGTCGAGAGACATTAACTGCTGGGCGCGGAAGCCCGGCTCGCTCTTCGACGCCGCCATGACTCTTGGTGCCGACCCTGAAACTTTCAGAAAGCGATCAGAGCCCCCCAGCTGCTCTCGGTCACCACGTTGTGGGGCAGACAGAGAGGGAGAGGAGCTTCCGCCACCGCAGCAAGAGTGTCCGCTAGTCACCCCCATTTACCATCCGCCTCTCACCGCGCCCCCTCGTGTTCTGGAGGAGCTCCATTGATCAGGACCAGGCTGCCTTGGATCAGAAGAACAAGGATACTGCTTCCAAAACCGTTTTCCATTTTAGCAGCTGAAAATTGGCACGACCTGGACGCAACAAAACCGAAACAGCTTAATAACATTGCGACATTCGGTATATGATTATTGAAATTTGCATATTAGGGATCAACACAAAACGAATCATACATTCACGATCATTTGTGAAAATGTTATTTTATGTACTGTACTCAACAGTCTAGAACTTAATCTGAGCTGCTCCAGTTCATAGACCTTGGCTGAAAGATCCTACTGGAGGTTGCCTTGTAACAAGCTGATCTATTTCATTATACCAAGGTTCCTAGATGCCATCTCAATTTAATACGAGGACAATTAAATAAGATTTTAACATTCCACTGAGGATTCCCAATAACGCAAAAAAGAATATTTATAGTCCCAGAGGTTGTGGTTTCATCAAGAATTCTGCTACACAATGCAACTTTAAATTTTACAAGGCTAATAACTTACCTGAATGTGGAACTCTGGTTTGTGCAACTGTGGAAAATGCAGTACTTATGAACAAACCCAGAGTGCAACATGCAACAGTTACCGGCCACTGTAGTTTCTGCCAAGGTTTCCATATTCCCTGGTGATAGCATCTCTCACTGTCCACCCACCCCATCCCATACAAACACTGTAATCGACCCCTCTCTGCTCAACCCCCACACGCTTGAAGGAGGGGATTCTTGTGACCTCAATTAGTGTTCCTGCAACCCCAATTGGGACTCTGACCCACAATTTGGGAATCTTTAAACTGGATTTGGAGTAGGCCATTTGGCTCCTGGAATCATTCAGTAAGATCATGGCTGACATTCAACCTCAACTCCACATTCACACATTGTCCTTCTGCCCCTTACTGCACTTAGTACTCACAAAGCTATCAATTTTTATTTGAATATAGAAGGTAGAATACATTAAATGTGAATTTCCAGAACTGTGTTGACTGTGATGTTGTTTAACTTCCTAATAATTTTTATCAGAAAACACCTTACAAATGGTTATTTCCACAAGATGTAAAAGATCATAAGTTGTTTCAAAATATATAGAAGATAAAATACATATATTTTGTTGTTTATTTTAAATGTGGACTTCATTGGACCACAACGCTTGCTACAGATCACATGATTTGCAAGATAGCTAGAGCTCCAGAAACTTTAAACAGTAATAATAAGGACAAAGCTAAAGCAACATCCTTGTTGAATTTCATGTCTAACATTATATGGTCACACGGTCACATTGCAAGAACAGCTGGACAAATGAAAGCAAGACATTCGGTCTGATAATGAAAGGATATTTAATCAACACTCATAATGCGCTTAGAGATACTAACAGCCCCTTAAACATCTAAAGTGAACAACGGAAATTGACCAGAGGCATTGCAACTTATTCATTAACATAACCTTCTGAATTGCAACCTCTATCACCTTGAAGAAACAGACATACAGTAACAACATTTCCCCTCCAAGCCATTTATTCATTAGCAGGATTAGGGTGTTGCTGGCTAGGCAGCATTTATTGCCCATCTCTAATTACCCAGAGGGCAGTTCAGAGTCAACCACATTGCTGTGGGTCTGGAATCACATGAAGGCCACAACAGGTAAGGATGGCAGTTTGCCTCCCTAAAGGACGTTCGTGAACAATATGGGTTTTTCCGACAATTCTCAATGGATTAATGGTCATCATTAGATTCTTAATTCCAGATATTTAGCAAAGTCAAATTCCACCATCTACCATGGCGGGATTTGAACCCAGGTCCCCAGAATGGTATCTGGGTTTCTGGATTAACAGTCCAGCGATAAAACCACTAGGCCATCACCTCCCCATATATCATTGGTCCTATGCTGTTGCTGCTTCAAAATCATGGAATGCCATCCCTAACAGCACTGTGAGCATCCCTATACCACACTGTCTGAAACTGTTCAAGAAAGCAGCTCATCTTACCTTCTCAAGGACAGTTGGGGCAAAATATGCTGGCCTAGTCAGAAATGCCGTATCCCATAAATGCATTTTTAAAAATGAACTGATCCATGAACACTGTCACATATGATGGCACAGTGGTTAGCACTGCTGCCTGATAGCACCAGGGACCTGGGTTTGATTCCAACCTCGTGTGACTGTCTGTTGCATACTCTCCCCATGTCTATCTGGTTTTCTTTGGGTGCTCCGGTTTCCTCCCACAGTCCAAAGATGTGTAGGTTAGGTGGACTGGCCATGCTAAATTGCCCATAGTGTTCAAAGGGTCAGTGTGGACCTGATGGCCTGCTTCCACACTATAGAAATTCTATAATTCTACCTTCTCTGCTCTGTGAAGAATTTCAATTGTACATTTCTCAACCCTTGTATGAGACTGCTTTTAATATTAGAACAACAAGCACTCTAGACTGATGGAAGCCTGTCTCCTATACATGTCTCCTCAAAACCTAGTTGCAAACGATTTCAGGATTCATCACAAAAGTAAAACTAGTTCCCAATCTACAAATCTCATTCTTCATTGTCACAAACTTCAAAGGAAGTCTGCAAAATCTGCCACTTTGCCCGAACTTCAACCCCTTGGGTTAGGAGCCCTTACTGATTCATGTGACATAATATCTACACGTCTGTGTTGTAATTTATTCCCGGGTGTAAAATGTTTTCTTTTCTCATTTCTTTCTTCTGTGCGAAGTCGCAAAGACGAGCCCTTGTTTGAATGTGTGAATAAGTAATAGTCCTTGCCTAAACTTATGAGAGTCATTGTCAAGAACTGACTTAAATCAAATAAGGGGACACAGTCTATTCAAAATTAAACCACTTTGCTTATAGACAGAAGGTGAGGAGAATAAATAAATGATCCTACTGAATGGATGAACAGGTTCAAGGGGCCGAATGGCCTACTTCTGTTCCTATTTCGTACGGTCTTATTTATTTCAATGCACTGACAATCTGTTTTCTGCATCAAGTTAAACTTTTGAAGAAGGATCTAACTTTTTTTAAAATTTGTTCATGGAACATGGGTTTCTTTGGCTGGGCTAACATCCATTGCTTATCCTTAATGGTCCTGGTGGTTGAATTGCCTTTTTGAACTGCCGTCGTCGTGACACCCCACTGCAGCTGTTAGGAAGGGAGTTCCGGGATCTTGATCCAGGGACTACGAAAGAGCGGCGATATTAAATGTGCATGACTTTTATCCGCTGCGCAACAAGCTTGGTGACAATTCGGCTGCAGGAGGGTTGCATCTCTGTGCTGTTTCCAGCGAAGGAAGACCTGAAGCAAAACCATCAAAGAATGCACTAGGTGACGCTGTGCAAGCAAGTTTGCGGCGATTGTAACAAATAGAGCACCATGAACTTTCAGCAAGATTCAATCATCTCTTGGACAGTAATTGAGGAAATAAACATTGTTTTTATTCGACCGTATTGAAAATAACGAGTGGTACAGTGATCAGAGAACAAATGACAGTGCTCATCTTTGAGTTACTGACCTTCCTTTGTTCGTAAAGTCCTTTGTTCGTAAAGTTAGGCGCCACAAATCTATCGAAAAAAACTTGCGCTGAGTAATTCTGCTGCTCTGGGAAGTAAAGTTCCCTGACAATGCATAAACTGCCCCACAGAATGTCAGAGTCAAATGTTGAATGCCTCTTTAATTTGGGGCTTTGGGGTCAAGGGCCAGCGGTCACCAGAGGAGATATTGAGTCAGGGTTTTCTCTGATAAGACTGGTGTACCTGGGGAAGCCCTTGACATACAATAACGCCATCTGCTTTTACAATCAATTATTTTAAACACTTTAATTATTTAAAAAAAACTCATTTGCCTATCACAATACATATTCGCGTGGAAGATCAGCACCAACATGGTGAGTTGGGCCGAATGAGCTGTTGCTACAAAAACAGAAATTGCTGGAAAATCTCAGCAGGCCTGGCAGCATCTGTGAAGTTAAAAAAAAACAGGGTTAACGTTTCGGGTCCGCTGACCCTCCCTTAGAATATTGCTATGCTGTATGTTCCAGTCATTTTGTCAACTGGCCTCCACAACTCACCAAAGGGAACCTTGCAATAGATTTTATGGCAAATATCCACTCTGACATTTTGAGAGCATTGTATTGAACCTAATGTAAATTTTCAATTTCGTATTTTGCTTACTTTGTATCTATAAATTGAAATTCAATTTTGGATATTTTAAATGGACTTTATTAACCTTTTGGATATAGGACAAGAATAAAAAATCAAAACAAATTGTTGGTTGAAAACAGGAAATTGGCTACAACAATGCTTTAAAGTGTGGCAGTTATTGCTGTGTGAAGTATTGCTAGATATTAGCAAGAATGCAGTGTTTAGACTGTGGTACATATCCTTGGCCTACAAGTGTACATAGCGGGATTTAAACATTCTGGTGGAGACAGTAACTAGTCCAAGTCAGTGAAAATAACTATGTTCAGTAATGCTGTAGAGTGATGTGTGTTGTGTAACATCTGGAACAGTACTCCATATTACTGTGGCTCAGGACCGAGTACTGAGCGGGTTTTTCCAGTTTTGTATATTGTAATGAGTAGGGACTGTGTGGAGTATATTAGCTGTCTCTTTCATTGACAATCATGCTGTCATCCAGCTGCTCGCGATGTTTATCTTGACATGTTATTTTGACAAAAAGCTCTGCATGTTTATTCTGTCAGAAGTCACACAAGATCAGGTCACAGCCCACCAGGTTTATTTGAAATCACAAGCTTTCGGAGTATGGAGGTGATGAAGGAGCAGCCACAAGTGCCTTTGCGCTTTGGATTTCACCATTTAGAAAATAGTCTATTCTTCCTACCAAAGTGTTTAACCTCACACACTTTCACCCATTGTATTCATCTGCTACTTCTTTGCCTACTCTCCTACTCTCAAGTCCTTCTGCAGCCTCCCTGCCCCCTTAGCACTACTTGTCCCTCCACCTATCTTTGTGTCATCTGCAAACTTAGCAACAATGCTCTCAGTTCCTTTGTTCAGATTGTTAACATATAATGTGAATAATTTTGGTCTCAACACTGACCCTGTGGAACTCCAGTAGTCACAGGCTGCCATCCTGAATGAGGTAGA